CTGCAGCAGAGATAAACGATATGTAGCGAACAACAGTAAAAAACTAACAATAATATTGGAAATTTTCAAGATTAGCCGTAAAAGAGCGCAATTAACGCAAACAAAAACATTTGGTCAACTTAATTAAGAGAAACTTCCGCTGCTTTGCAAAACTACAATGAGGTTAGGAAACACACACTGCATGAAATGAAGCAAAAAACAGTAACGACAGCGCACAGACTTTCGAATACAGTCACTGTTACAGCCCCTACCATCTGCTTTAGGCAACACAGTATCACTGTGATAACGTCCGCTAATGACAACGCCCAACCATTCAACTTAGATGTTCAGCCTCGTGCTGTCAGGCTCGTCCGAGTGATACGTAATTTTGACTTATGATGCATAGTTGTGTGCTGATCTTCAGAAGCAGCTGGGCAACTATAGTTTTGGTTGGTGTTTCATATCCGCTGTTATAACAACATCATTGCCATCACCGATTTCAGCCGCTAATGGCTGAGCTGTTGTTTTCATAAAAGGGGCCCATGACAGGGTCACCCGACAATTTGTGGTTTTCAGCGAAAACTAGAAGTACGGCGTCTATTATGCGTATACAGGCATAAAAAGTGGGCCTTAAAAGAATACTTCAACTCAAAACAAGCCCTAGAAGTCGCCGGCTGCAAACGCCCCCCTTCGCCGTGATGGTCGTTTTACCGTGACATGTGTGACGTCATGCGCTGCATGAACCGGAGCGGTCAGTCTTCTACCGAAGCTTTAGCCAATAGGAATCGTTAGATTTCAGGGCCGAACGGAAGAAAGCTAGAATACCTCGAATTCGTGCGCAGATGACCACCGAGCAATGTCAATCGTCGGAATGTAGACGCTCCCACAGCTAACTGCTTGTTACGTCACGACTTGCGTGTGCGCCAATGTTGGCCGACTCTCAGCCCTTTCACGTGTTACACATTAGCGTGCTCGACCAATTGCGAACAATTACACGTTACGTGCTAGACCAATTGCGTTATAATTTCGACATATTGTTTGTGAATGTACGAGAAAAAAAACACACAGATTATGATTCAAAATTGAGTACTACGGCTCCTTTAACTGCAGGCAACTGGAGTAAAAAGTATACGAAAAAAGTAGACGCTAACACAAAGATGGCGTCCCCTCTTCACATGCAGACGACACCGATGCATGTAGTAGCAGACGACGAGTCTTCCAAGGAAAAAATACAGGAAACATCAGTCACATCCCGACTCCGATAACCTATACACTCAATAGGAGGAGTATATAACATGTACATTGACGCCAGATGGGAACGCGCGCGTCATTTCTCTAGCTCTCTCTATAAGATTGACAATCCAATGCAAGACAAGACGGTCCCATATCCAGCCAGACACCGGCATGGCACTCGATTCGGCAGGCATATCTCGAGACCTTGCGAGTCGGAAAATCGATTTTCCTTCGTCTCGCCGGTGTTTCTCAGGAGAAGTCGCTCAGTCGAGTAAGGAGGAATGCCCGCCCCGCAACGCGGGAGATTTCCTGGCCGATGTGATACACGAAGGCACATAGAAAGTATGCAGTGTATGTATACGTATCGGACGCGCTGCACCGTTTTGTTCCCCCAGTGTCATATATATATATATATATATATATATATATATATATATATATATATAGATATATATATAATATATATATATATATAGGAAAAATAAGTAAATAAGTATACGCCTCTAAAAAAACTGTTCATTGGTGACGTTTCGATCGGAGACCCATCTTCATCGGTCTGATGAAGAGCGGTCTCCGATCGAAACGTCACCAATAAACAGTTTTTTAGAGGCGTATACTTATTTTTCCTTAATTCTACGGCAACCGAGCGAGACTCTTTATAATCTACGTATATATATATATATATATATATATATATATATATATATATATATATATATATATATATATATATATATATATATATATATATACATATATATATATATATATGTGTGTGGGGGGGGGGGGTGGCACTGAAATGCGAAGTGTTCTGTGTTGTTCGTTTAGGTATACGTTAAAAAAAAGAAATCCCGTGTCGTCAAAATTAAGTCGGAGACGCCACTATGATGTGCCTGTTAATCGTCTACTGTGGTTTTAGTGCACAAGTCCCGATAATTTAACATTTTTTTAACAAACTAAGATTTTAAGAACCTTGATTTGGAATTTGTGTCCGCACAAAAAAAAAAAAACTGCAGGTGCGACGAGGACGGCTCTTAAGACTTATCATTATGACCCATTTCGAACAGGCGAAGACAACTAATGGCAAAAGTGAGTAACAGCGAGCGAGTCGCTACGGGAGAGTGGAGTGCGTCGCCGAAATGATGTCAAGCAGCTGCATCGAACGACGGTTCAGGTTGAAGAAAATTATTAACTGCCAGCAGATCAATGGGCAATGCAATGCACCATCTCGTGTGTCGTAACACTATAAAAATAAACACTCGTTAAAGATCAAAGTTTTTTTTTTTTTGCATGTACCACCATAGGGAAGCTAGTACGAGTCCGTGGCACATCGCTCCGAGGGTTTCTTCTTTTTTTTTTTCGGCTGTGAAACGACCGCGAACAGTCCGATAGGGGCAACGAAGTGTTTCTTCTCACGAGATGGCTCGATAGAGCAGGGATGATCATACCTGCCCTTCTCCGAGACGCCACTTATTTATCCATGCGTGTTTTTATTTGCCCCCCAAGATGGCTATCCCGCGTGTGTTCACGTACCCGTAATGTTAGCAGCACGCGAACCAATCACCTTTTCTATTTTCTTTATTTTTCTCCGCAAGAACTGGAGCTCGAGAAGAAACAGAATGAATTCACAAAAAAAAAAAAGCCATAGGAAGCCCCAGCCAGGGGCAGATGTCTCGCCAAAAAACGGTGCAGTGCTGAATACCGTATGCGACGCCTTTATTTTTTTTTTTTTGAAAACGCATTTAAAGGAGCACTTACATAATTCTTGAGGCATCTGTCTGGCAAAAATAAACAAATATAAAGGAGGCGGATTGAATTCTCGAACGAACGAATGGACGAGAAGTAGTGTTTGTCACTGCTTCGTTTGCTTACAAAGCGTGTACATTTGTCTACGGAGAAATATACCACGAAGTTGCAAGGTCACACTGTCAGGGGCTGCATACTACGAGACCAAAGTGCTTAAAACTTGCGAGGACTGTTTTATACGACAGGCTCGCGTCTACAATGTGCCCAAATGGAGCCACAAAGCTTGTGCAGTACTGTGCAGTAGTTTACTGTGCAGTACTGTATACCACTGTCGTAGACGGGGGCGGGGGCGGGGCGTCACATTTGAGCGCCCAAATATTTTTTTTTCCGTTTTGCTCATGCACATACACACGCACACATATAATGTATAACTGACTACCCCCCCCCCCCCCCCCCCAAGGGACAAATTTTTGGCTAAGATAATGCTGTAAACTGCCGTACAGCACCACCGTTCAGTGTTGTATACGGTGGTACACAGTACTGTACTGTTTATGTTTTTTAGATCACCAAGCACGTTCAAACTCAGCCTGCATTGCCCCTTAGAAGTGTGGCAGTTTGCGCTAGTTGGTATGACATGACGATAGTTATAGCGTGAGAACGGAACGACGACACAGAGACAAGAAGGACACGAAGGACACGAGCGTATTGTCCCATGCAACGTGCACGTCCGTACAACGAGTCTATATTATAATCGCACAGCTTACGTGAAAAACTCCGGATGACGTACAAAGTACTGCACTCCTGATTAGGAGATCAAGAAAGATGTCTGGTATGATATCAAGGAAGTTGTTTCAAAGATTCCGGCACTGCTCTGTATGAGAAAGTGACTGTATCTAGACTTGTGCTGCTTTAGGAGAATCCCTACGCAGGCTTGCGCTGTGCTGCATAGTTTTACAGAGACCACTGAAGACAAGACAAGAAGGTGCGAGTAGCTGTTAAGCGTTGCCCCTAGAGGGTGCGCCAAGGAGCTGGTTTACCAGCGCTGCCATGTACCCTCCTACTTGCTTGTTTTTTTCGCTTTCTTTCGGCTTGCATTCTTTCTTTCTTTTTTTGAGCGTTCGCTCCGCCACTGGGGAAAACATCTGCTCCCTAAGATGGCGGAAGGTTCACGTGAGAAGAAAAAGAAAGAAAGAAAGAAAGAAAGAAAGAAAGAAAGAAAGAAAGAAAGAAAGAAAGAAAGAAAGAAAGAAAGAAAGAAATAGCAAGCACTTCTTCGAGACTTCTTTGAGAGCTCTCCCGCTAAGGAACAGCTCTACAAAACGCAGCACAGCGCTCGAAGTGGTGCCGGAACCTAAATGCGACCTCTTAGCATTCGGCTCAAGCGTGCGAACTACACCGAGTGCCTGGTGCTTTTTTTTTCCCCCATTTTTATTCTTACTCCTTGGTTAAACATCGAACGGCGAGTTTGCCGGAACATTGAGTGAGAATGAAACGGTACGTGTCTTTTTTTTTTTTGTAGTTATGACATTTTTCCTGCGAAGAATCCTTAGGGTTTGGTTAGCCCTAAACTTCGAATTCAACCCACGCTTTTCAAGCTTGGCTGGCAAAAGTCGAGTTCTTAAATCTAACGGAACTTATTCGTAGTCTCAGTTCGAACGTGGTTTGGGTATTGGTAATAAGCCCCTCAACAGAGACTCAAGAACGTAGAGTTTGTGCACAAATTGATGTAAACTTTACCTGTACGCAGTCACCGGACAAAGAGGTAAGACTACAGAAATAATATCAGGAGGCTTAGTGTTTGTATAGATTATGTCAAGTATTTCACAAATTTTCAAAAATACGCTTCGATCAATTTTATGTGCAGTCCAAGTTACACCTCTATCCCGTAACAAGTTTGTTTTGTGCCTCTCCCTTAGAACATGCAGTGGCAGGTTTATTTCTTGTGCCTTTTTTTTAAAACAAGGACTGCAATGAAGTGTAGAATATCGTTGCACAATATACAAGCACAGATGTTAGATAAAACAATCTTGCAAACAGATAGT